ATTCATAAACTGCGCTTTTCTGCGGTTTATATTGAAATACCGTTTTAATAAAATACTGCATCAATCTTTTCCAGACAACTTTTGAGATGTATTAATGCTGAATTTGATATTGTTAACTTCAGCAAAATCATATACATAAGATTTTAACAGTTCAAGGCTTAGTGACATTCCAACATCGGACAATCTAGTATCCTTAGATACTAGTTTTTTTTCATGGTCTAACAAAAGTGTGCACTTTCTTCCCAATGACCTTTTATCAGAACCTTAAACAAGATGATTCTTGAGTGTTCTTTTAGACAAATTTTGTGAATAACTTTCTTTGATATTGTCCACCTTCAAAGGCTTTAAAGTATCTTACAGCTGGTCCTCTTTCTATTTTGCTCTAGATGGTGCCATCTTGACCATATTTAAAAAGATATTTCTGGTACTTAATATAATTATAGAAGCCTATATAATAGTACATCATATTTATTACAATTAATTACATTATATTATAGTATATAGGCCTGGTGCCTTCAATATATTATATTTATAAAAATTTAAGTGTTTCTAGAATAGTGCTCTTGTGAGAGTAATAAAGTCCGTGGACCTTATTACCCAACTTCCAGTGTTCCTTATTAGCCACTATCAACTTGAAAGTCTAGCATTTTTTTTATTTGACAAAATGCGCTTATACTAATTGTTTGGTAATATTAGCTGTAAAATTATATAAGAGCTCAGAAATAAGTGATCGTCCATGTTATCTTTCATTAACGTACAAACCGTAACGGAAGTAAGACTTTTTATGGTTTTCCTTGATCAAGCTTCATACTTTAATATTTTATAGCAGAAAAAGAGTGGAATTTTAGAATTTATTAATTTTTATCTCTGATAATGCCTCAAATTTTTCCAAAATTTTGAAGGTTCTAGTAGGCTCTTTTTTTTTTAAAATAAATTTTGAACCACCCTCGAAAGAGACTTTTATGCTAAAAAAAGTTTCTTTCAACAACATTTACAATTAAGCCACATTTTAATGTCGTCCAAAAATTAAAACAATTAAAATAATGCGGAATTACAATAAGTTTTATCGCTTTTTTATTATATGTATATATTTATTTATGTATATATATATATATATATATATATATATATATATATATATATATATATATATATATATATATATATATATAATAATAATAATAATAATAATAATAATAACAATAATAGTAATAACAACAACAATAATAATAATAAGCGATAATGTATATAATGATAAGCAATTTTAGTTAGTACAAACAAATACGAATAAAAGTTACAAGTAACGGAATTAAGATAGTTATATATAAAGCTAGAAGAAATCTATGAATTGTGTGTAGTTACAGAGCTGAATTGTGTGTAATTACAGAACTGCCAACATATAGTTCTGTTACCAAACTACTAGCACATATCATTGTGTAATTAAAAACTAAAAGGTACACTAGTTTAATAATACAAAATATATATCATATAGTTAAAAAAATTATATTTATGCTTGAAACATAATTATCATTATTTAAACTTAATTATTTGTCAAGTTTCCGAATATTTATATAAATGTTTATTAATTCCTATCTTGAATGGTCAAAACTGATTTCAAAAAATTTGCCGTAAAACGCTATCCGGTTATATTTTGAGATCAGCTTGGAGATGCTTAGAGCAGGAGTCCTGGTACCGAACTTTATTTAAAATATAAAAATTAGTCTTATGACTTTCTCACGTGACTTTGTCATGTTTAATCACATTTGATCAAGTTAACTACGCAATAATCAAATGAAAATCCCGGGTCTCCGTCAGAAGAATGCAGCCGTTAAATGGTACTCGATCAAAACTTTACAAAGATCTAAATCAAATCTAATCCATAATGGATAATAATCTAACCTTGGTCAGACTATAAGCGAATAATACCGGTAGTTGATTTTTGTTTTACCAAGTAAAAAGTTGGTCTTACGATTGCTCATATTTTAGACAAAACAATTTTAAAACTTATGAAAAGATTTTAATGCTAATAAGCAAGATTTCTTAAAATTAAAAAACGGATATAATTCAAAAATTTTTCACTAGAGTTTTTTTTCACTTTTTATTTTATTTTATTTAAATTTGCTTATTTATATTTATTTACTATAATTTTTATCTATCATTATCGCAGTTTTATAAAAAGTTTCTTTTTTAATGAAAATAAGTCAAAAGTACTTGTTTTTTTTGATAGTGCTTTTGTAGTAATAGATTATATTGAAATTTTTATGTTCCTAATAAAAACTTCAACCTTTTGATATATTCTGTTGACTGTTTACAGCCTTTATAATTTATTTTTTGATTTATTCCTCTATGTTTTGTGGTTTTTTTAAAAATATTTTTTAATAAGTTATTGTTGCATATATTAAATTTTCATTGTATTATACTATTTTTTTTAAAATAAGTATTTGTCATTTAAAATAACAGGAATTTTATGTTTAAACCCATTAGCCAGATGTTATAACAATACAATAATATAAAAGCTTTATTTAAATGCTTTGATGCAACTATGACCTACCATTTAATCAACAATTCAAAACAGTTTTTAATAAAGGGCTTTATTAAATTGTAAATTATATGTAGATTATATTTCAATAAATTTGGTCTTCAAGGTACATATTTAAAAACAAACCTGTTTTATTGGTTCTTAGTTATATATACATGGTGGCCACAGTCCTGGAATGTCCTGGATTTTTGCAAGTGTCCTGGAATGTCTTGAAATGTCCTGAAAAATTACCTTTTTTTTTAAAATGTCCTGAAATGTTCTGGAACTTTTTTTCTGAGTCAAGTTAAAAAATTAATAATAATGTTGAAGTAATATTAAATTTTTTATGCAAAAATTATTTTTATATAAATGGTTTAAATTTAATTTTAAATAAAAGAGTAATAATAATATAATAATATAATATTCTTTTCTATAATTCAATCAATATGAAAAAAATATAACGTAAAATAATTGAGAATATTCATTTAATAAGATATAAAATGTCCTGGAAAACGCAACAAAATGTCCTGGAAATATCCTGGAATTTTACTTTTAAAATTTTGTGGCCACCATGTATATATATATATATATATATATATATATATATATATATATATATATATATATATATATATATATATATATATATATATATATATATATATATATAAAACTATGTTTTTTTTTAAAATTTAAACTCCTTCAAACTTTTTCAATTTTTTTCAGTTGATAAAAATGATAACATGTTTATAAGCTCTTGAAAAATTTCAACAGTTTATTTTTGTTTGATCTCTTTGCAACTTAACTTGACAAATTCCAATTGGTTTTAATATTTTTAACAAAAAGTTAGTTTGGTTTAAATTGATATTTTTCCGATTGTTTTAAACCATTCGGTTTAAACCTATCAACCTTGTATATATAAATCTAATAATGTTTGTATAATTTAATATCTATTTTTTTGTTATTTTACTAAATGCATTTGTCATTTTTTTTTTCAATGTATTTATGCAATTATTTTTGTATGTAAAGTTTCAACATATTGAGATATTCTTAAGTTTTAGTTGTTTGAAAAGTTAAAGACTTATTTATATTTTAGTTTGTTTTTGAAAATTTGTTAAATTTTTTTAAATGTTTCAAATATTGTTACTATATTTGATTCCTAAAACTTGAATCTGATTTTTTAAAAGAAAATAAAAGTAATATATACTCAAAATAATAACTTTTGTCAAAAAAACCAGACAAGGAAAATAAACCTAAGAAAAAAATATTTGGAATTTTTAAAGTTTCAAAAAAATCTAAATATAGTTATTTTGTAAATGCAGAAAAGTTTTTTTTGGATTGTCTAATTATTTTATAATGTTGTTAATGTTTAAATCTGTTTGTTTATGTATAATTTATTCATTTTTCTTATGACAGCGTCAAAAAATATTTTTTTTATTTAATATTTGTTAAGATCTTAAAATGAGAATTTATTTTTTACTGAATTTCCTAAAGAATTATTAAATAATTTGCCGAAAATTAAATAAAAACTCTAAAAAAAAGTCTTAAAGTTCTTTTTTATGTGTATATTTTTGTTTTAAAGTATTTTAAAGTTAACTTTAAAGTTTTAAATTTACTGTCCACCATTTTTAAATTTTGTAAATTTATTTGAAATGATGTCACTACCTTTTTAAAACCTTATTTTTCTAGTATTCAACCTTTACTTTTAGTTCTTCTAGTATTCAATCTTTACTTTTTTAAATATGAAAATTTTGTTTTATATATATATATATATATATATATATATATATATATATATATATATATATATATATATATATATATATATATATATATATATATATATATATATATATATATATATATATATATATATATATATATATATATAAACAAAATATATTTTAAAGTTTATGTGATTTATTACTTCATTGATTCTTAGGTATTAAAGTATTAATTTTTTTCAGGTATTAAAATATATTTTTTTATTTACAAAGCTTTATAAAAACCTTTTTTTAAAAAGCGTTCAAAGTCATTCCGTAACAAATGAAGCAAATAAATTTACTTTATTGATTTTGTAGTCATTGGTGTATTGTTTTCAAACATCTTTGATTCATTTTTAACATTTATCTAATTTGTTTGGCATTTCATGTACAACTATATCTTTCAAGTTTAAAATTTTGTTTTGTTATGTTTTATACATTATAATTGAGTGGTTTTTAATTTATTAGTAAGTGGATTGGGAAAATGTCATTTGAAAATAATCAGAAAACATTAATAAATAATAGTAATAGTATAAATGTAAATATTGAAACACCTTTTAACATAAAAAACTAGTTGATAATTCAAAGTTCTAATCTTTCTACAAACTATACAAAGTTCAATCTTGCAAATGAAGAAGCCTGATTATAATTTAAAAAGTACAAGATTTCAAAATTTCATTTTTTAATGTAATAAAATATTTTATTATAATTAAAAAAACTTTAAAATTGTTTTTAATTATTTTCATGGATAGTACTTAACATAATAAGATGGCTCGAAGTGCAGAAAAAGCCATGGCAATTTTGTCTCGTTGGACAGCCATGGTTAATAGCGAAGATAAACCGCAAGATAATGCACGTCGTCCTTTTCTTGCAACCGAGTGTAATGACCTTAAAGAAGCTGAAAAATGGAGACGACAAATTATTCGAGAGGTTTCGAAAAAAGTAGCTCAAATTCAAAATGCTGGCATGGGAGAATTTAGAATTCGAGATTTAAATGATGAAATTAATAAACTTTTAAGAGAAAAGAGACATTGGGAAGATCGTATTGTAGAGCTAAATGGTCCAAATTATGCTAAAATTGGACCAAAAATGTTAGATCATGAAGGAAAAGAATTACCTGGTAATCGAGGTTATAAATATTTTGGAGCAGCACGTGACTTACCTGGTGTAAGGGAGTTATTTGAGCAAGACCCACCAAAAGCGCCGCGTAAGAATCGAGCAGAGCTGTACAGATTTGTTGATGCTGATTACTATGGTTACAGAGATGATGATGATGGATTGATTATACCACTAGAGAAAGAGGCAGAAGAAAAAGCTCGTAAAGAAGCTGTGACTGATTTTGCTAAAAAGTTAGATTCTGAAGGCATTACTTTAGAAGAAAAAGATGATAATATCTATTTAAGTTTAAATTTTGATAATGATGAAAACACAGACAATATTGATAAATCTTTTGTTTCTCATGTTCCAGTGCCTAGTCAAAAAGAAGTAGAGGATATGCTAGTAAGGCATAAAAAACAAGAACTTTTAGACAGATATGCAAGTGATATACTTAAAGCTCAAAGTTCAGAAGCTAAAGCTTTAATGGGCTTGTAGCTGTTATAACTAATTAATATCATGTATTAATGTGTAATAAATTAATGTAAATTTATTAATAAAGTTTATTTCAACCTTAAATATTTTTACAATATATGAAATCATATAATCTGGATCCATGTTGAATAATCCAATAGCTCTACATGAACCACCTTATTTTTTGTTAAAACTTGTTGGATAAGTATACATCACTGAGATAAGTATCCTGAAAATTCAACTTTTAAACTTTGAATGTTTCTTACAAAATTATTTTGTTTTATAAAGTTTTACCTTAGAAATTTCTTGCATTATTCATAAGAATAAGTTTTTGTATCAAAAAAGAGTTTCAAATTTTTGATAATTTTTATAAGAAATTTTGAATTTCAAATAAGGTAAAGTTTTATTCTTAATTTGATTGACCAAAAAAAGACATTTGTTTGTTAGTCAGCTGAGTTTGTCAAATTTCTTTTCTTTTTTTACTTTGAAAGCTTTATTATAGACATGTGTCTCTAATACAGGTGAATATAAAATATAATTTTTTATATAAAAATATATAAAAATTTATATTTTATACTTGGCATAAATTTTATAAAACCTATAATAAAACCTAATAAATATATTTTAAAAACATTTTCTTGTTTCTAAACCAATTGGCAGGTGTCAGCATAATTATTTATATGTTGGCAGGTATCAACATGAATATATTCAGGATTTAAAAGCAAAATTAGCTGGTAAAAATTTCCAATATAAAAATCTTATTGGAAAATAATTTACTGAAGTAGACTTCATAATATAAAATATAAAATCTGTTTTAGGATATTATTTTTAGTATGTTATTATAAAAACATTTACAAATAAATAATATAAAATAAAAAAAAAAAAAAAAAAATTTAAAGTTAAAATAAAAGTTATTATTTTGTTTTCTACTTATCTAGTATTGTATAATCTATTTTTTCTTATTACTTGGTCTTTTTCTTTGCTTGGTTTTATATGGTCTCTGCTTTGAATTAGTCTTGTACTATTTGAATTGTCCCTTCACAAAAATATAATTTTTAATATTTATACTATATTGTAAACTATATTTATTTTATAAAAAAATATATTGATTGATTGTATGATCGGTCCTTCACTTTATTGCTGAGGTCAAAATTTTAATATTGGATAATTTTACCTGCTATTTTTGTTTATAAATTCTGAACATATAAAAATTTATGTTGACACCTGCCAAATGGTTTAGAAACAAAAAACTGTTTTTAAAATGTATTCATTAGGTTTTTAAGATGTAGAAAAAAACAAACATTAAATCAATTAATCAATATATTTTTACTTTGATAGCTGCATATATATGGAATAGTGAGAAACAATTATAAACAGTGATAAACTGATGAGACACTAGGACCTAGTTAAATATTGTAGTTTTTGAAGTAATGGAAAATCTTTTTTAGCAATTCTGAAAGAAATAAACTTCAAGACTGTAAATTAATAATGAATTGTATTTTATTTCAAAATTTGTGAAAATTAGTCTACCTATTGTAAAAAAAAAAAAGCTTCTGCTACTGGGGTATTCCACAAAAAAGTAGGAAAATCCAGCCAGCACAAACACGTGTTTTTAGAATCTAAAATGTTAACACCTTTAGACGTCTATATTAAGATAACAATAAGACATCTAATTGTATTTATCTTTGAGATGACGGATAATAGCTGTCTCAAGCTGTCTAAAAGATGACAACTAATAGATGTCTTATATTTATCTGAATTTAGATCTAATCTAAAAGTGTTAACATTATAGATGGGAAAAAAACGTCTAAAAGACGTGTTTGTGCCGGCTAGGAGTTAGGTTCTAGGTTTGTAACCCACCCTATCATATTTTCTTTATACTTTGAAAAAATTGTCATCTATATCACATAGATTACTTAGCAAAATCTCAGCAATAATATTAAATGAGTTTTTAATTACTTTAAAATCACCTATTTATTGAAAAATTTGTTTGTTTAGCAGTCATTTTGTAATTTTGTTTTACATGTTACTGGTAAAGAATAACCATATTAATTATGTTGGCTCAAAAGAGCTATAATTATACTAGTCTATAACAAAATAACACAATACATAAAGTATATAGAATATCATACAAAACATATATATTTATATATATTCTCCATATTTCATATTATCATAACATTCACCCTCCTCTTAAAAGTGTTCAGGTGTATTTATAAGTTGAGTTTTTCTGGTGCTTTAGAAATTCGTGAAGATCTACGAGGAGGCAGAGTACTTTGCTCTATAGGATTCCCTCTGCTTTCTAGTTCCTCTTCGGAGACTAACGGAGTTTCATTGCTACCATTAGGGGTTAAGGGGTAGTTATCAATAGCTGTTATTTCTAAATTGTCATTTGATGTTTGTACTATAGGAGTTGTTCCGATAGGAGCCAGCCGTTTTGTAGACACTGTAGTCTCATGACCATTAGGAAATCTCACAATTGCATAATGAGGATTTGCTTCAATGAGCTAAGCCTCATTTACTGAATCTTCATATTTACTTTGCATTGTATTTCTTTTTATAAGTACAGGTCCAGGGTTAACAAGCCATGAAGGAATTGAAGACCCAGATGATGATCTTCTTTGAAAATTAAAAAAACGTTCATGTGGACTACAATTAGTAGAAGTACATAATAGAGATCTTGTAGCATGAAGTGCATCAGGCAAAACTCTTTTCCATGATGATATAGGCAGATTTCGAGATTTCAGAGTAAGTAATATCGCCTTCCAAATAATTCCATTGTATCTTTCAACTTGCCCATTTCCAGTCGGATTGTAAGGGGTTGTTCTACTAGTTGCGATCCCTTTTGATAAGAACCAGTGCTTTAATTCAGAAGACATTAATGAGGATCCACAATTCGAATGAACATAGCTAGGCATACCAAACATTGAAAAAAGATCAGCTAAACAGTTTATTATTGTCTGAGTTGTCATTTCTTTCACAGGATAAGCAAATGGAAAACGTGAGTATTCGTCTGCAATTGTTAGCATATACTGTTCAGGGGTTGAAGAAGGTAATGGGCCTTTGAAGTCAATAGATATACATTCGAATGGCTGAGTCGCCTTAATCAGGTGCACATCATTTGGGAGATAGTACTTGGGTTTTATTTCTCTACATATTCTACAATCCCTACATATTTGTTTTACATATTCTACTGAATAAGGGAGGTTTCTTGATCGAATAAAATGATGGAAGCGAGTAACACCAGGATGGCAAAGTGCAGCATGCAAATTATATAAAGATTCTGAACTTATTGCTGCACATTTAACTCGAGTAAATGTATCTGGACCACTATTACATTGGCCAGGACGATAATGGATATCATAAGAATATGGAGACAAAGCTATTCTCCAATGCATTATTTTATCATTCTTTATTTTACTGCTTGATTTATAATCATACATATACGCCACAGATCGTTGGTCAGTGATGAGAATGAAATGTCGACCCAAAAGAAAATGACGCCAATGATTTATGGCTTCAACTATCGCTTGAGCTTCTTTCTCCACTGATGAATAGTATTGTTCACTCCCTTGAAGGGTACGTGAATGGAAGGCAACAGGTCTTCCATCCTGATTAAGTGTGGCGGATATGGCAAAATCAGAAGCATCAGTCTCCACAGTAAAAGGTATATTCTCATTAATGGTTTGCATGGAAGATTGAACAAGTTCATTTTTAATGTTTCAAATGCTGATATTTGCTGCTGATTGAGTGGAAATTGAGTAACAGAGTTTAAAGGTCTAATTTTATCTGAAAACTTTCTTATCCATTTTGCATAGTACAAAAACATTCCAATAATTCGCTGTAAAGACTTTGCATTATCAGGTGGGGGTAACTTGATGAGAGGAGCAAGTCTCTGAGGATCTGGTTTTAAAGAGCCATACGATATACGGTAACCTAAAAAATCTAAAGTCTTAGTTGAAAATACACACTTCTCTTCATTAAATGTAATTCCAGCATCAATGGAAGCTAATCTGAACTTAAGTAGATTTTCATCATGTTCTTTCTCACTATTACCGCATATTGTAATGTTATCAATGAAAGGAAAGCAGTCAGTTAGTTTATATTTTCTAACAAAGTCATCTATTTTGCGTTGAAAGCATGCAGATCCATTGGTAACTCCAAAAGGCATTCTAGTATATTGCCACAACTTATTGTCAGCTTCAAAAGCAGTATATGGTCGATCTTTTTTTGATAAAGGGATTTGGTAGTATGCTGAGCGAAGGTCGAGAGTACTATAAATTTTGTATTTAGAAATTATATTCACAATCGTTTCAATCTTAGGTAGAGGATATGCATCTAATTGAGTATATTTATTAATAGTTTCAGAGTAATCAACAACCATGCGACGTTTAGTCTTTTCATTTACTACTAAGACCTGGGCACGCCAAGGTGAATTACTAGGCTCTATTGTTGCTGCTTGAGTCAGGCGATGGATTTCAGGTTTAATAAATTCTTTATCTCTTTGAGAATAATTTCTAGATCTAGTGGCAATCGGTCGACAATCTTGCGTGAGATTAGCAAATAATTCAGGAGGTTCAGTTTTCATTGTTATTAAAGCAGCAAATGTTATGGGTGGTCTTTTCCCACCATACTTGATGGTAATACTTTCATGCAACTCTTGAAAATCTGTGCCAAGAATAACATCTACACATAAGTTATCCAGCACATGCAACTTGACTTTGTTATAGATTTTGTTTTGAAGAGTTATTGAGACATAACAATATCCATCTGATTTTGCAGATAAGGCAACTGATGCCATTCCAATTACACTCTGTTCATAAATAATATTTAAATGGAGTAGAGTCACTAGTTTGTTGCTTATAAAACTTTTGTTTGTACTTCCACTATCAATTAATGCTTCTGCTTTATATCTATCATTAATAATGATGTTATGACAAACTCTGAATAGAGAGTTTGCTGAAGCTGATATGGTGGCACAGAAGTAATCATCATCAATTTTAGGAATAGCAGCAGAAACATTAGATGATCTGCAAAGTTTTTCAAAATGACCAATCTTTTTACATTTGTGACAGATAGCTTCGCGAGCAGGACATTTAGTACGTGGATGTCTTATGTTTCCACAAAACCAGCACAATTGTTTTGATTTTGCTATAGCAGCTAAGTGATTATCAGTCATGGACTGTTTTTGTAAAAGTGATTTGATTTCCTGAATAGAGGCAGAGGTAGGTATAGTCAATTGTGAGTATAAGTTTGAGTTTTGTTGGGCCACGTCTGAAAATCTAGTTTGGTCAAAGGCTGATGAAAGGTCTAATATTTTGTTTTCTAGTAAATGTTGGCGTATACTATTGGAGAGTAAGCCATTTATAAATGCATCGCGAATCATTTCAGATTTATATTGCTCAGCTGTAACAGCAGTGAACTTACAGTCCTTAGATAAATTTTTAAGTTCATTGAGGAATTGATCTATTGTTTCACTTGGTTTTTGCTTCCGTGTTGACAATATGTGTCTGGCAAATATTTCATTCTTTGGTTTTATGTAGATAGACTCGAGAATACTTGTTGCTTGTTCAAAATCATCACACTCTGATATGAATTCATATACATTAGGTTCAATATGGTTTATTAGGAGATTAAGCTTAATGAAGTTATTATCTACTGTACTTACAAAATTGTTAAATGTTTTTAACCAATGGTTGTATGTTTTTGCTGCATCTGCTGAGTTTGGATCTATACCAAGTCTGTCAGGTTTCATGAATCGATCCATCTTTCTTTTATTTCATAATAATATTCTAGCTCTTTTGATTGTAAAGAATAACCATATTAATTATGTTGGCTCAAAAGAGCTATAATTATACTAGTCTATAACAAAATAACACAATACATAAAGTATATAGAATATCATACAAAACATATATATTTATATATATTCTCCATATTTCATATTATCATAACATTACTGTACTAAAATTTACATGTTACTGTACTAAAATGTTACTGTACTAAAATGCGATCAAGCTAAAAATTAGCACCAGTATAGTTTTAAAGAAGAAGAATCAGAATATATGTTTTCTTATGTTGCAAAAAAATATTTCCTAATTTTATATTAATAAGTTATCTTGAGCTTACCTAATTATTCAACAAAAACCATTAAAAACCTAAAAAAATGGGGGTTGTACTTAACCTAAGACAAAAGGTCAAGTACAACACCCATTTTTATTCAGATTCAATTGTTTCTTTAACAAACTAGTTTCATATTCTGATTCTTAGCAAAATAGTAGCAAAAACTAGTCAGGCTATTATTTAGTAAAATAAACAATTGATTCAGTTCAAAAATGTTTTGAAATATTTTGTGTTGACCTTACCCAAATAATTAACACGTGTATTCATATTCCACAAAATAAAATGTAAAATGAAGTGCAATCCAAGCTTCTAAAATTTCCAAAACCTGAATATCTATGATAACACTATACAAATATCTAAGCATAAAGCAATATTCTAACTTTTGGATACTCAGATGATCATCAAACTCTAAAAACATTCCTTCATTTCAATATTATACACTACCCATAGACAGCAAAATGTCATAGTTACATGTCTAAATAGATGAGTGATTGATTCCTTTAAATTAATCAATTGAAAAAAAAATTAGTTACGACACATTTGAAAAAACAGATCATTATCAAAGGTACTTTTGTCAACAAGAAATGCATTAGATTCATCAACTTTGCAAAAAGTTTAGATGTGATACTTGGTTATGAATTATCTTACAAAACACAAAGTAAAAAGATAGTTAAAAACTGTTGCAATATCATGAACAAAATATCCAAAATAAAACAATTCTTACTTCATAAGCTTCATATGCACCATAGTATGTCCACTAATTTTTTCACAGCTTAGCTATTGCAACTCCTTCTACTTTGGAATTATTTAATTTTGTAACAAAATTAGTATTTTAAACAAGAAGATAATATCAAATAAGTATCCAGCAATTAAAAAAATCTTTGAATCGCCCATGTCATTATGTAACTCAATTTACTACTCAACTTCAGAAAAAACATCTGATGCAGCTATAAAAAAAAACCCAAAATTTAAAGAAAAGAAAATGCAACATTTGTTTTGATAGGCGAGTGTTATCTCTCTAAGAACTATGGAATATATTTACAAATATTGTCATAATAAAAAAAAGTACAGCTATTTAAAAGTAAAGACTAAAATCATGTTTAATGGTTAATGGTAAACTATTTCACCAAAATATATAAAATATAAAATCAAAATGGCTGCACTTTAAAAGTAATTTTAAAGTAAAAGTATCTCAAAAACCCATTTGATATCAGCGCTGAAATTTTTCAAGGTAATCTAGGTGATGTAGGTGAACATTTCTACAAAGTTTGAAGAAAATTTGAGACAGATGGTTATATACCTGTCCCACTTTCTCATGGAATACCTCTACCAGTAATTTAGTATGCTGTGATTTTAAAAAATAATTGTCTTTTTAAAACTATTTCTAAAACTTGGTATTCTGATAAAAGTCATATCCTGTTTTTCAATTTTAAATTGAAATATCCTATTTTTATCGACTTTTTTTTTTTACTAATGATTAAATTTTTTAAATTAAAAATACTTAGCTGAGAAATATTACAAAAGTTTAATGTATTTGTTCATATTTATTGATGTACACCAATCCAATAAGTTTTACCAAATTACAAAAGTGTAAAAATTAAAATTAGAATTTAGTGGTAGAATGCCTAATAATCCCAATAAAGAACTCTGGATTTACAAGTCACAAAAATATTACTTTTTCCTAGTTTTAGTATCCAGGAGCTCTAAAAAAAAGCCTATAAACTACAATAGGAAATAAGTTAGGTCATTTAGGAGTCCTTAAGTATAATGACTGCAAAGACAACAATGAAAACAATAAGTTCCAAGTCAATAAATCTCATGAGTTTTTTTCCTGTAGCAGATCATAAGTCAAATAACATGTTTAAAGCTTCTGGACAAAGAGACCAGGAAAAAATAGAGATATAAAGCCTTAGTCCTTTTGGAACTCCACATCACTGTTTCATATATAGTCAACACTACTGAAAGTCTGAAAATCTGGAAAAAATTGTGAGGTTTTTGAAAAACTCCAAGAAAACCTGGAAAACTCAGATTTTATTTTAAATTTATATTTATGCAACTAACTGTTTTGTTTCTTTTATTATTACATTATAATTATTAATGATCAATATTATATTTTATTTTGTAGTAAATAATTATAATGAAATTTTTTGTATATATATATATATATATATATATATATATATATATATATATATATATATATATATATATATATATATATATATATATATATATATATATATATATATATATATACATAAAAATACACACAAACACGCATAATGATTGTTTAAGAATGTTTTATAATAGTTTCTACAATTATATTATATAAGAAAAAAAATGACAAGTATGTTAAAATGGTTTTTGTTATGTTTTGTGGGAGTGTCTTGTGATTTGCCTACAAACTGTTCATATGAAGATACTGTTGGATCATGGATATTATTGACTAGTCAAAAACAATATTCAAATAGAATTAACTGCAGTCGATCATTTGATGTTGCATCAAAACTTAAAGTTGAACTTTTGTTTCCTAATTATGTTGTTGATGAACATGGGAATGTAGGTACCTGGACTATGATTTATAATCAAGGGTACGATAAAGTTTTTTTTTTAAAACAGGTTTACGTAATCAATAATTTAAATTTTTAAATTAGTATAATAGTATTTTTTATAATCGTGATTCATAAATAAAATAATGTGATTTCTAAATAATTTCTTTAGACATTGATATGGTCAAGTATTGGTTGATATAGTTGTTTTTTTAATTTTTGTATAAAAATTGTAATGTGTGTATATATATATATATATATATATATATATATATATATATATATATATATATATATATATATATATATATATATATGTATATATATATTATAATATTTTATGTAAAATTATATTATTAAATTGTGTATATACAAATATTATATTTCCTGTTCATAGCGCTAAATTATATTGAGACTGATGAGGCTCTTTAGGAGCTGTCCATTAATTATGTCAACATTTTTTTGGTGATTTTTACCTACCCCTCCCCCTTTTTAAACTTCCCCCTCCACCATCAACAACTTTTTAAACTTCTAGAAACATCCCTACAAAACATCCTTTTTTTTCCTCGTTTTTTAAGTAATTAAGTTTATTTAAAAAAAATACATTGTTGACATCAACTTTTTTTGAACTCCCCTCCCTCTTGTTACCAGTTGTCAAAAAAATGTCTGACCAACCTCTCCTCTAATATGTAAGGCATTTTGCATAGAAATAAAAACTCTTATATAAACCTGCAATTTAATTGCGGAGTTGCTTGTATATCTGTGATGGTAATCTTCCTAATGTATCATAAAAAAACTCTGTTATATATGTCAGTCCTGACATATATATCAGCTTAATACTAAAAAGGACATCTAATTGTAAATTTAGTTGCTTTAACTTTTCTATTTATTCATATTTAAAAAAGAAAATGGTGTTATAAAAGCCTGTTTAAATCACACAAGTGTAAAAAAATGGGGGTTAACTTTTTTTAAAAAAATATATGTATATTATTATATTGTATGCATTTATACAATTTTTGTATTTTTTTATAACATTTGTTTAAAACGTTTTGGTTTACTGTTTTTTTAGATTCGAAATTATTATAAATGGTCGTCGATATTTTGCATTTCAATATAGCTTTCAAGTTTCACCAACACAATGGGCCAGCAAATGTAGTGAAACTTTTAATGGCTGGGTTCATGATATAGTACCTGATCATCCAACATTTCCTCCCAAAAACTGGGGATGTTACAGAGGTAATTTTTTCTATTAAACAATGTTTTATTTTATTTTACTTTGTTCACATTTATAAGGTTGCTAGATGTTTGGTTTTTTCCAAAGAGAACACAAAAAAAAAAAATTTTATACAGGTTTTGCGCTGTATTCTCCTCTACAATACCTGGTTGTCGGCAACCCTACACATGTATCAACTAGTTTATCTATGTTGATGTATGTGATAACAACAATTTTAATTGTTGTTGTCACATAAGAACAGACAAATTTGGGGCAAATATTAAAAATGTTCAATTACAAAAATAAATTCAAAAGTATTGACATTTACTTTGTGCTCAAGCAGCAAAATACCCCCCAAAAGTTTGTACCATTATGAGCACATTAAAAAAAATTTATTTGAAGTATTTTGCTGCTTGAGCACAAGGTAAATGTCAATATTTTTGGATTTTTTTTTTGTAATTGTATTTTTTTTATATTGCCTCAAATTTGGCCTCTTGTGTATTCACATTTGGAAAATTTTTTTTTTTAACACCTTTATTTCACAGGTGTGTGTAAGACGTTATACCCTCCCCCTAAAAAAAAAAAAAAAAATTTAAGTTATAGTCAGTTTTTTGAGGAATAGAGTAAAATGGGGTCAAATGGAAGAGTTTAGGATTTTAATTATTTATTTTTTACCGAAAAAAGATTTTTTTTAAATTTTTTTTTAAAGTTGTTGAGAATATTGAGCTGTATTTAAATAAATAAAAATAAAAAGTTAAAGCATATTTGACATAGCCAAACCTTGCAATTTGAATTTCCATTCACTATTTTGACTTGCTGAAGCTTTGCCTTAAACTTTTCGGCACTTTTTACACTTGAATTGGTTTGCAGCTAATATTTTGGCTGAACTTGTTGCTTGGTTTATTTGCTGTTTGCCATTAAAGCTAACCTTATGTTGTTTTTTAGCTTGCTTTGCTGCTTTTTTAAAAAAATTTGCGCCAAACTCTTTTGACATGGCAATAAACACCAACATTTAGTGGCTGCAGAATGTGAGGCGAGTGAGCTGGTAAGCAAATTAACAAGATATTGTTTTCAATGCAAATAAGTATGACCCGATAAGTTACATGTGTCACATGACCATCCAAGACTAAAATTTGAATACCAAAAATTAGATAACTAAAATTAGATTGAATTAATTACCTGGAATTTTCTTAATGGCAGGAACATACACTTTAATGAGCCACTGCACAAATTGCATATCTTCCATCCATATGGATGGAGATATGGCGTATATGGCATCATCTGGACCACTTACACATCAATCTCTGTACAGACGTTTTTTTGATTTAAAATTATGTATGGAGCAAGACGATTGCTAGCAGCATTAATGCAATTTCCAACAGTAAAATGGATTTTTTCATTGTTGCCAACCAATTTCAATGGCCACCACGCCGGTAAACTATGTGTTGCTTAACTTGATCACCAGAGAAGCCAATTTCATTAAAATTCCACAAATGACATGGAGTGTTTTCATTTATACCTGCTATGTTGAATTCTTTTTGCAGTGTGTTGAAATACTTTGCTACTATTTCTTGCGTACAAGAAGCGGCTCTGAGTGATAAAATATTGCCTATGGCTCTGATGCTCAACCTATGACTCCACCGTTTTATGAAAAGTTTATACCAATCTCTTCCTGGTTTACCATTCAGAAACAAATAAGATTGACCTTGGTATTGCAAATAGTCGGTAACTAGTGCAATGACATTATTGTAAGTTCTACCAAAGCTCTAATCAGATAATTTGATGAGCGTATCTACCAGAACTGATTCAAGTTGTTGTGACAATCTCGTGCTTGAACCACTACCAATTGTTTTATCTATACAGTGTAATGAACTAATAAAAAGATTGATCTCTTGATTAAGGCTTTATTTAACAATAATTGTACTAATCTAAAGATACAAGAAAAGAGACACATATAAAACAAATAGTTCAATAATAAAAAAATAGAAAATACAACAATCTTCCCATCTATGTAGAAAAGAACCCATAAACTAGTTTTGTCATTTTAAAATATAGTGATCATATTTTACAGGAGCTTTACAAGCTCTGGCAGAACGTCGTAATACATCAGCAAATAACTCAGTTACTGGCTTATCTGCCCTAACTCTGATTTCCGATGCAATTTCAGGTGAGGGGTCTTTATTTACTTTCGCAGTTACATTCTCACTAGACTCATTGATACTATTCTCATTGGTATCATTAAACTTTTCTTTTGGGGCAGGATTAGGTGCAAGATCTTGAAGTGAAACAGTTGACTCTTGTCCATCAGGGTAACGAATATTAGCATATGTTGGGTTTACACCCACTAATTCAACCTTATCCATGAGATTATTGTTTTTGTTTGTAGGCACAAATTGTCTTAGAAAAATTGGGACAGGAGTTAACCATGAGGGTAATGAAGTTCCGGATTGGACGTATTGACTTGATTAACTCACAGACATTTGAGGATCGATAAAACTCTTGTTTTAATTCTGAACAAATCTGGCAGTTAGAACAAACTCTCTTGACTTCTTCTGTAGAAAAAGGTAAATTTTTAGATTTAACAAAGTGAAGCACACAAGTAACCCTTGGGTGACATAGACAGCTATGTATACCACTTAGGTTTGTTTGAGATTGGGTTGTAGCACAAAAAGCACGTGTGAGTGCATCAGGGACGATATTATCGCTGCCAGGGCGATGCAATATAGTATAACTAAACTCTGCTAACTCCATCCTCCAGCACTGAATCTTACTATTTTTAATCTTTGTTTTCTTTCGGTTATCAAACATAAAAGCTACAGAACGCTGATCAGTAATTAATTTAAATTGATTCTGTAACAGTAAATGTTGCCATTTTCGAACAGCTACAATAATAGCCACAGCTTCTTTTTCTACTGATGGGTAATTGATTTCATTTTTGCCTAATGTTCGAGACAACTGGACAACCATTTTGATTCAAGGTAGCTGATACGGCTATATCTGATGCATCACATTCAACAACAAAAGGTAAGCTCTCATCAATAGAAGTCAAAGTGGCAGCATGAAGTTCTCTTTTAAGAAATTGAAATGCTTCAAGTGCCTCACTATTGATAGGAAAAGATTTAACATTAATTAAAGGCCAAACTTTATTAGCTAACGAAGGTATCCACTTTGAATAGTAAGAAAACATACCCAAAATTTGCCGAAATGATAAAATGTTAGAAGGAGGAGGTAGTAAGTCTAAAGGGCGTAGTCGCTCAGAATCTGGTTTTATGTTGTTATGAATAACGCAATAACCAAGAATGTTTATAGAAGAAGCTGAAATAACCGATTTTGATTCATTTAAAGTTAGACCCCAACGTTGTGAAGCATCTTGAAACCGCAGACAATTTTTATCATGATGTGCCTGATCATAACCACCAATGGTTATATTGTCAAGATATGGAAAAGTGTCATGTAACTTTTCTTCTTCAACAAACTTGTCCATAGACCTTTGGAATATAGACACACCATTAGTAACTCCAAATGGAATCCTGCAAAATTGAAATAGTTTCCCATTTGCCTCAAATGCTGTATACTTTTTGTCTGAATTTTTAATAGGGATTTGGTGGTAAGCACTTTTCAAGTCAAATGTAGAGAATACTTTGTACTTTGCAAGTGCATTTATCATATCATCTATTCTGGGAAGAGGATATGCATCTAACTCAGTGTAAAGGTTAACTGTTTGAGAGTAATCAATACTAAGTCTTTTTTTGTTAGATTTAGTAAGATCCTTTATGACCACTACCTGGGCTCTCCATGGTGAGAAACATGGCTCAATTATACCATATGATAATAACTGTAATATTTCACTTTCAATAAAGTTTCGATCATCATTATTATATCTTCTTGATTTTGTAGCTATTGGCTGAGTTTTGTCTGAAATGCTTGTAAACAAGGATGGTATTTTTAATTTTGCCATTGCAGTGCACATAGGTTACTTTCCTTTGTGACAATTAAGTCTTCTTTTTCTCCACCGAGTGGGAATATTAAATTTTTGTGTAGTTTTTGGAAGTCGTAACCAAGTATGATATCACTACAAAGATTTTCTAAGACACCAAATTGAACATTATTATAAAATAAACCATTTACTTTAAGATTAACCGAACAAAAGCCCACTACTCCAGACTCCATTGTTGGGCCATCAAAATTTTTTTTTTACTGGGTAACGTTTCAATTTTTAAAGTCTCGATAATTTTCTTGTTTATAAAATTATCTGAGCTACAGGAATCGATTAGTGCAGTTAACGGTTCATCAATAATTCTGACAATAACAGCTGCATGAGAGAGGCTCAACGGACAACCACTTGAAACAGTACACAAACTTGGTTTATGTATTGCAGCTGAGACACTGTGGGTTATATTCATCGGCCTGCCAAGACAACCTTTGGAAAAATGACCTTTTTTTCCACATTTAAAACAGGTTACATTTTGAGCTGGACAATTTTTCCTAGCAGAGGTTTGATTACGTTGGTTGTGAGATTGATTACCTCAATAAATGCATTTTGTTTGAGGATTAATAGTCATATCATTGAGTGCTGCTGAGGGTTCTTCTGGTAATTTTATAGTGGCAACAATATTTAAATTGAAGGAAAGGAAGGATGTTTTCTGCATATAAGAATCTGAGTTTCTTTGTGCAATGTCAAAAGAACGAGCTTGGTTAAATGCTGATTGGAAATTCAATGTTGAATTTTCAAGAAGTCGTCGATGAATGTAATTCAAATTTATTCCAGAAATAAAAGCATCTCTTATTTGTTCCTCTCGATATTGTTCAGCTGAAACATCCTTGTAATTACAGTTTTTACTGAGTTTACGTAGTTCCTGAAGAAAGTCATCTAAGGATTCACTCAATGTTTGATGTCTTATAAGTAATTGATGCCTTGCAAAAATTTCATTAGGGGTTTTTATATATAAGTTTTCTAGGGTTTCAATTACACTTTCATAGGAATCACACTCTTCAATGTAATCATAAACATTTGATGAAACAA